AAAAAAAAAAAAAAAATAGAGACTTTACAAACCAGACAGGGTGGGAGAGGAGAGGGCGCGTGCGCGCGCGCGTGTGGGTGTGTGTGTTGGGGCGCTGGTGAAAGCAATAAAACTCAGATCGCTTCCTTGGCGAGATAGCGGCTGCTATAATGCGCCAGGGGGGATCAGGGGTTTATTTGCAGATCCTGGATAAAAGATGATATATCGACACGGTTTAGAGTGTCACTGCGCCTGGCCTCTCAGGAAGCCACAAGTACATATTTCCTGAAATACCACCCAACACAATATCTAAGCCACACGCCACTTAAGCACCGGGAGGGCGACCTCAGCGTCTCCAAGTTTGCGCCCGGCTTCCTAGTTCTGGGCTTCGACGCCCCCTCCCCCGGCCTTTGTCTTCGGTCCAAGTCATCACTTAGCCATGGGCCTTAATAAATACGTCTGAGAACTGTCCTTATGCTCAGTAAATATTGGATTAGCGTTTCAATGACCAGGCTCTTGAAAAGGCTCGAGAAATCCAAACCAGGTCTCCACTAAGCCCAACAGTCAATAGGTAAGGAAATAAGTCATTTCCCTGGCTGGGGTGGGGGGCGTTGGGAAGGCGGGTCGCGCTCTTATCAAGTTATCGATTCTGCTAACTATGACAGTCGTACTAAACGGGAAAAATGGGAATGGCACCCAAGTTTCGGATCGGTTGGAATTTCCATCGACTCAGTTGTGCTCATTAAGGGCTGAGCGACCCTGTCCAAGGGGAACACGTCTGGTTTCCATTTTTATTTCCACAGCGCTGAGCATGAACTCTTTTTTGTTTAGCACATGCTGTTTACTTGGGGGTTGCTTATGGGAGTTTTCACCTGGCGACTGCAGAGGAGAAGGCATGACCCAAATGATCTCCGACTGTCCCGGGCCAACCCCGACGGTGTAGGGGAGGCAAACATGGGCAAATTCCTTGGAAGCCCTGCTGTGTCTCCTTGTTACTGGATTTTGCAAACAAAAATGATGCAGGAGACAGTGAGAATTAAAGGATCAGTCAGTCTCTCCTTCCAACACGGGGAGAGGGAGGCTGCTGGAGGAAGTTTCTGGACTGTTTTCCCGTCGCACTGAGGTGCGGGTGGGATCTCCGCGCGTAATTCAAATGAACGGGGGCCCCTTAGCTGCCAGGCTCTGGTAACCCGGTGGTCCGTCCATGCCCAGTGTGACCTTGGAATGGGTAGTGGCTGAAATCGAGCTGGGCCCAGGACTGAGCTGGGCCCTCGGCCTCTCAGAGCCTTTCTTGCGTTGAGCGTAAGGGCAGCTCCGTGTGCGAGGGCGTCCGATGCAAGAACAAGGGGATGGATTTTCATTCATCTACCCTGGAGCCGCGAAGCCCATGGGGGAGGGAACATCACCCAGGCCCTGGGCTCCCCGGGTTGCCTCCGAGCCCCGGGCTGGTCCGGTGGCTTCAACGCGGTGCTCCCAGGTAGGAGACACCTAGCTGCCAGCTCCCACAAACAGGGGCGCGCAATGATCCCAAACTCTGAAGGCGCGTGGTTTGCAGACCCAGGCCCTAGCGTCAGAGCCAATATTCGGTGGTGGTGGTGGTGATGGTGGTGATGATAGTGATGGGGAGGGAGGGGTGCGGGGACAGAGAGAGAGAAATCCAGCTCTCAGTGTGTCACGGAGCCTAGGCGGGGCAAGCGCCCTCTGAAGCCATCAAAGACAGGGGTGGCTTTTTCCCCTCCTCCAACCTCCTCCCCAATAGATATAGCACGAATTTTTAATGTGTCTTCCTTTCACAGACAACAATACAGGGTTTGAAAGCCGGACACAATTTGGGTTTTGTGCGGATCCCTCCTCGCGCTCCCTCGGCCCAGCTGGCCATATGGAATCCAGCATGGAGCCCGCGGATGACAAAGGGACCCAGTGACAGGCCCAACAAAACCCCAAGGAGACTTCTGCCTGACTCCGGGATTCACTGCCCGCGATAAGCGCGCTGAATGGTGCGGGGTGGGGGGGCCTTCTCCCTCTTCCCTTCTCTCTGTCCCCAGCGATCCTTTCTCTGTCCTTTCTTAATATGCACGCCTCTAACATCTCCGGCTCCCAGCTTTCCCATTGTGCGGTTTTGTGCGGCCCGCTGTAGATTGGGCGAAGATAGACTGCCGAAGCGGACCCTGCGCCGGGTGCGCTCCCAGGGCGCTGGGGTTAGGGCCACACAGGGCTCCGCGGGTGCTTTTATTGACTCCATGGGGACCCAAGGACAGAGAGAGGCGGGCGCCGGGCCGACCTCCCCGGCTCCCGGCCGCGCCAGCGCACACCCAGACTGCAGGCCCGCAGGCCTGGCCACCGCCCCAAACGCGCCCGCTACCCGCACGCAGTGGAAGCCTGGGAGAGTTTGGACCTTCCAAGCCTCCCCCTTCCTCCCTAGAGAGCTGGGGGGCTCCAGAAGCCGTGGGGCCTGAAACGGTCAAAATCCACTCGAGTCTATAGGGCTGCGCCTCAGGCCTCGTGACAGCCCCTTTCCAAGAGATTGAGAACCTTCATCTCCCCTCCCTCCGGATTCCAGGGTTAGGGGAAATTGCAAGTGGATGTTGGGTGGGTGGTGCCAGGGCATGTTGGGCTTTCGATTATTGCAGAACAAACCATTTGGGGGAAATTCTCTGGCCTTTCCAAACAGCAAGACATAAAACCCCAAACGCTTCCAAGCTAGTGTGGAGAACAAAGGGAGACTTTTCAACATTTAGGAAACCTCCCCTCTTCTCGCGGATGAACCTGGAGATGGGAAGGGACCTTTAGGAGGACATTAGAAAGACTCCAGCGCCCTCAATTATCCAGGGGCGGGTACGCAACACGGGAATAAAGTGTAATCACGTCCCTGGGCGTGTTGCGCTGAGTGCTATTGACGTGTAGATTTGGTCACACGGATAATCATATTTGCTTTAGATACTGAATTAGATCTGACTGTCAACTAGAGGGAGCGAAAAAGTCAGCTGGGACGGCTCCCTGTGCCAGGCTTGCTCCCCTCCCCCGCCCCCCAGGCCTTGATGGTGGAGCTCCAGAGAGAACAAGCGATGACATTTCCAAATGGGCTGACTTTCCATCTCCCGGCATCTCAGAGCGCCCGCTGAGCCACAGAGCCCCGGGTATTTTCGGAAATCCATGAGATAGAGGAGAAAGGCGCACCCCCCGGTCTGCCCGGCCCCCCGAGACGCTCCCCCGCGTGGACAAGTGTGCGCCAGCATCCGTGAAGGAGATCGATCGGTCCCTGCGACAACGGGGGTGGGGGTGGGGTGGGGGGGTGGAATCAGTTATCTACTGGGGAAGGATAGCTTTGCCCTCCCCCGGGCAGGCCAGGGGCTGTTTGTCCACTTCCCGCTCGCCGCACCCCAGCTCTGGAGGTGGGGGCACTCCACCCCACCCCAAACCTTTACTTACTAACCGTCCATTCGGCCCCATGCCCGAGGGCTAGCCTGAGGGTACCGCGCACCGCCAAACCCTGGGAGGGGAGGACCACGGATCCAGCCGCGGGGTGGGGGTGGGAGAGGGCTGGAAACCCGGGACGAACGGGGACGGCAGGGAGGGGGAGAGGCTCAGTTCACCGGGATGACCAGAGACCCCCTAGAACCAAAGCATCTTGGAGCCCTCTCCGAGACGGCCACCGGCCCGCAGATGTTGAAAAGGGGCTGGGGTGGAGAGAAAGCCGGCCCGTCTCAACCTCAGACACCCCCAACCCCTTGCTTAGCGCAAGGTAAGTCAAACGCCACACAGTGAAAGTCATCTAGTGCAGTGGCTCCAACAGCTTCTTAGGCTGAACGAGTCACTCGTAGATTTGGGCCAGCGAGGGGGTCTTGCCCTCCTGGCCTTTGAGTTTCCCAAAGTCACTTTTCCTCCCGAAGCCGGGCCGCCGCCGCCAGGGGTTCAGACTGCCCTAGAGGCCGACAGAGAGACCCGGGAGAGGGCGGGCGACCCCGGCTGACGCCCTGGAGCCGGGTCCGGCGCGTCAGTCCGAGGAAACCTGCCTCCCGGGAGCCCGTCGACGCCCCCCGCGCCCCCGGCCTCCAGGCCCGGAGAGGAGGTGCCAGGGCTGGCAGCAGCACGGCCTGCAGCCGGGCCCGGTTCCTTACCCGAGGCCTCCAGCCCCCGCCCAGGGCGACAAAGTCAGACAAACAGGAGGACCTGGCTTTTTTTTTTTTTTTTTTTTTAAACACAGGATTTTTATTAAAATTCTTATTTAAAAAAATTGAAAGGTCGCAGCGCCCGGCGCTCTTGGGGAACCGCGCAGAACCGCTGAGCTCCACGTTCTGGGGCTCAGAACCCGGGAAATGGGGCAGGCGGCTTCTCGCTTACACATTTTTTCCTTTTTCATATTTGAGAAATGTTTGCACTGAACAAAATCAAAAAAGAAAGCGGGGGTAACCCAAACATAACCAAACCAAAACAAACCACAAAGGAAGGAGTTGGGCCCCGAGGGGGAACAGGCCCATCCTCAAGGTCATTTTGGCAACAAGAACCACCAATATTTACAACGAAAAGCGAAATCTGCCACCAGTTGTCAGAACGTTTACATGGCCATAAATATTTATCATTTTCTTATTAAAAAAAAAAAAAAGAAGAAAAATCCTCTATATTTTTAAAGTGTTCTCCACTTGCTTTAGAAGAAGACAGCTCACAATATCGCTACTCACACAAACATATTTTACAAAATTCACGAAAGCGGATAAAAAAAAAAAGAAGAAAAATCCTCTATATTTTTAAAGTGTTCTCCACTTGCTTTAGAAGACAGCTCACAATATCGCTACTCACACAAACATATTTTACAAAATTCACGAAAGCGGAGCTGGGGGGCTTGGTCTTTTTTCCTTTTTAAGTGAGGACGTTAACGCTGAGACGGTTTAGTCCCCCCCAGGGAGAGGCCAAGAAGCGAAGCTGCGCAAACATTCTGTAAACAGGCGTATAGTTCAGCCCTCTCCAAAGGTTCAAAAGGAGAGGGGTGGGGGCAGAGCTGGGTGGATGGAAGCTGCCACTCCAAGGAGCCGCAGGCCACCTCCCAGAGCCTCCCCAACAGAGCCAAGTCACCTCGGATTCGTAATAACGACAATAATAATAATAATAATAACCACCCTAAGGACCGAGGCCTCCTCCTCGCCGCCGCCGCCGCCGGGGTGGGGCCTGGGCCCGGGGCCCGGAGTCTCAGAGGGGCGGCGCTCACCAAGTCCACTGCTGGGCCTGGACCAGGGGGTGTGCTGTCGGGTACTGAGGGGTGCTGGCAGAGCTGTACTGGGCGTTGTACTGCATGTGCTGCAGCGACTGTGCGCTGTAGGCCGAAAAGGGGATGCCCGCCTGGAAGGTGGCGGCTGCCAGGTCCTGGGCTTTGAGCGCGTGGCACGGTTTGCCATCCCTGACCAAGACGGGCACGGCCACCCGGCGCGGCGAGGGCAAGGGCGTCACCTCCATACCTTTCTCGGCCCGGGCGCGCTTCATCTTGTAGCGGTGGTTCTGGAACCAGATCTTGACCTGCGTGGGCGTGAGGCGGATCAGGCTAGCCAGGTGCTCGCGCTCGGGAGCCGACAGGTACCGCTGCTGCCGGAAGCGCCGCTCCAGCTCGTAGGTCTGCGCCTTGGAGAAGAGCACCCGGCGCTTCCGCTTCTTGCCTGCGTCCCCCCCGCCACCCGGGGTCTCCTTGTCATTGTCCGGTGACTCGTCGGCCGAGGGTTCTGGGGACTTGGAGCTTGAGTCCTGGGGGGGCGCGCCGGCCGCCAGCCCGTGCACTGTGGGGAGAGAGAAGCGCGTGAGGCGCCTGGAGGCCGCGCATCGCCCGGGCCGGACTCAGAGCACCCCGGGGCTTCGTGCGCCACTAGCCCTCCGCGCCGGGCGGCTCGACCCTGCGGGCTTTGCCATGACCCCTGCCCTGCTCCACGCCTGGAGAAGCCGCTGGGGTCTCCCAGGTTAAAGAGGAGAATCGGCAGGAATGCGGGCTCAGAGCTTGCGTTTCTAGGGTTTCGCAGGGTGTGGGTGCGAATTTGGGGGGAGTGGCGCGCGAAAGATCATCGCGGGTTAAGGGCTCCGGCCCCCTTAAGCGGTTTTCTCTCTGAAGGGACGTGGGCAGATTTTTAAAAGAAAACCCCCACAATTCTGGCATTGATCGGCTCTACCATGTAAGGCAGGTTTTTGGGGGCTTTCATTCCTGCGTTCTGGCTTTCTGGACACCCCCGTCCCTGCACAATGCGTTCTCTATGATAGCGCAGGGGGCAGGGGGAGCTATTTATACCCGGGCTGCTCGAAGCCTCCCCCACCCCACGCCCGTATCCGGAGGAGGCTCACGGGCTAACACAGTGCGCCAGGCCAGTCCCTCCGGGCGGCCACAGTCACGGGGGGAGGGCACCGGCCGGAGCCATCAGTCCGCGGTTGGCATCTGTAACCAGCCCTCGGGAGGTATTTTTCTTCTCCCTCTTTCTCCTTAATTTCTCGCGTTGGAAAAAAAGAAAAAAATATATCTAAGACCAAGTCTTTTTTTTTCCAGGACTAGGGGGGCTTGACTGTCCTAAACAAGTGTTAACATCTTTCTAGGGACCCGGGGTGGCATCCGGGCTTCAATGGTCTCTTCCCCTTCACTCCCAGAGTCCAGCTCGGGCTACGCCGCAGGAATGGAGGCAGCCGAGTTTCGCTACTTACGGGAGTACTGGAGGCCCTCGGTGCTGGCCAGCCACCGCGTGTACGGGTTGTCGCTGCTGTCGTAGAAGGGGTTCTTCAGGGGCAGGCTCTGCACCGCGTCCAGGGCGCCCTGCCCCAGCGGCCCGGCCCTCTTGGCGGGCTCGGGTGCCTCGTTTTCCTCCTCGGGCCCGTCGGCCACCGAGCCCTCTTCGTCGTTGGTGTCCGGCAGGTCCAAGATGTCCTTGACCGAAAACCCTGTCTTTGTGTTGGTCAGCGACATGGTTTGGGACCCCGCTATGTATGCCTCAAAGTTGTAGATTCAGTTGATGAATTCGTGGCGCGCCTCAGCCCCGGCGGGCTGGGGGTG